GCCCCTCCCTGAGCCTGGTTCTGCTGCAGGTTTCTTCCCACTGTCACCAAGCTGTCGCTCAAACGGGATGTCTGCCCGCCGGGTTTCTCAAACTGGAGTCGTCTTCACCGACGAGCTCGAGTCCCAGCTGATTTCCTGTGAGACGAAACCGTCGTCATTAACGCCTTTAATTGTTTTTGGACAACAAAGAGCATCAGGATCCTCCGGCAGCAGCTGTGAGTCACTCTGGGTTTGATCAAACTGTGATGGGATTAGTCAAACACAGGCGAGCCATTTCGTAATCCCAGCAGGCCAACTGGCCAGAGCACCCAACCAGTAACGGTTCACCAGTCGCTGCCTTTTATTGTCCTTCAGCGCTGATGGCGTTTGACATTTAAGAAAAGCTACGAATCCGTTTGTGCACAAGTTTAAGGAAACGAATAAAGAACCAAACAAATGTTGATAAGTGCTGTCCATAAAGACCTCGCCACAGTGGGTCTTCCCACAGTGGGATGGAGGCGTGTAGACCACTCAGCTTGTTCACTGATACTGGAACAGCCCGGAGCAGTCGGTGTTCATGTCTGACCACCAGCTACAGGTGGGTGGAGTCTGGGTGGTGTAACTCGGCGCTGGAGTAAGCGAGCTGCACATCATCGTGCGCCTGCAAACCTGAGCCTTTCTAGCCTGTCAGGAGTCTCCCAGCACATTTCACCACATGTGATTCCTGCAGTGCATATTTGGGTGTTGTTGAATTATGCAGCTAAAATAATGAAGATTTTATTCTTTGCAACAACGTGGAGCAAGTATGCAAGAGGAGAAGCCGTGATCGTGGCTCTGCAGCTGCTGTGAAGGCCTGTTTGTGTAAACGAGCGAGAGTTCCAGCGAGAGCACTTTAACCCACAGACCGGTCACCAGTGATAACATCAACGATATCGCCTCATAAATACAAATTAAAATGTAAATGAATAACCGTCGGTCATTTCCATATTCCTCCAGGTCAGCCTGGAGGAGCTGCTGCAGGTAAGAGCTCAGAGTCGGCTGTGTTTGTGATCATGTAGGTGTCGCCTCCGAGTCCAGCTCCAGGCTTCATTTATGTAACGCATCTGGTTCAGCTCCAGTGATACTGACACAGCCTGCATCACTTAGTGATATTACTGTAGTTACCTGCAATGTAAAGCACCTTAACGTGACTGTTGTCGTGCTTTGATGCTGTATAAATAAAGTTAAGCTGAATGTAGAGTCAGACACGCTCCCCGCGTTCAACGGTAACCTGCAGACCGATGAAGTCTGGCTGATCTGCTCACAGAGTCCAAATCTGCTCGTTTCAGAGCTTCAAACAGGAAGAATCTGTTTAAGCAAACTTTGATCTTTGGAAGGAAGTCCGACTGGATCATTTATTTATTATGAAGTACGGTTGAGTCAGTGCTCCGCAGCTAACATTTTATCTGTCCCACGAAGTGTTTTCCCTGGCAGAGCTCCTGCAGTGTCTGCACAATGGGACCAACAGGAAGTGGAATGTCTCAGCAGGACTGGCTGAAATTACATATTTTATAAAAGCCTCCAATCTGCTATTAGAATAATGTTTTTTTTCTCTAAACAATTGTGTAGAGAGGAGAAGGCGGCTCTGCTCTGCTCAGTGAAAGTGAGGCCTGAGCTCGTTTTTGAAACAGGAAAGAGTTTCTTCTGCTGATGAGACTCGGACTCCAAAAAGCAAACGACTTACTGAGCTGTGACGTTTGCATTCTCTTTGATTTTAGTGCTCGGTGAGCATCGAGCTGCAAACCTCTACCTTCAACCTGTCCTGAAATGATCCCATAATCATGGTTCACGTGCTCACCAGCACCTGGTCGAGCTGGTTCCAACCCTGTTGTTTTGTTGTTTGAGGTCAACTAACGGGAAATGTTGAGCATTAGGTGAATTTTGTCTGTTTATGAAATATGTGTAGAAGATGAGGGTTCATCGTATACGTGTCCAAAGGAAGTTCTCCAGTTAATGAGGAATGAAATGAATGTGATCCAAATATCGGCCACAGCTCATCATCCCAGCAAAGCAAGACAGGAATAAAAAAAGGAGCTTGAGGGGCTCAAAGAGTTGGGTGTTCGTCCTGTAATCGGAAGGTTGCTGGTTCAATCCCCGGCTCGGACAGTCTCAGTCGTTGTGTCCTCGGGCAACACACTTCCCTACCGCCTACTGGTGTTGGCCAGAGGGGCCGATGGCGCGATATGGCAGCCTCGCCTCTGTCAGTCTGCCCCAGGGCAGCTGTGGCTACAACTGTAGCTGCCTCCACCTGTGTGTGAATGTGAGAGTGGAATTGTAAAGCGCTTTGAGGGCCCTGAAAAGCGCTATATAAATGCAATCCATTGTTGTTGTTGTTAATAATAATAAATATAAGACGAGTGCAGGTGTGGTCATGATTTTCTGTCTGTCCAGTAAGTGATGAAGGCAGAATTGATTAATAGACCACATCCATCCACCACAGCTGCAGTCGGAGGATGAGCTCTGCGTCAGCTGGTGGAGGAATCCTCACAGCGTTGATTCAAATGGCTACAATGAGGAAATCAATCAGCGACCAATACGGACGCATCCCGGCCGCAGACGCGTCGCTTCTCAGTAACGTGTCGGGGATTACGCCGCTTCCCTCCGTTCACGTCCCTGTCGACCTGAAAGTGACGAAGCTTGGTGCAGTCACAGTGGGAGGGTGTCCACGTCTCACCGCCACGCTCCGTGAAACACGTCCACTCGGTGTGCTCCCTTTGAGCCGCATCCAGCTCGTTGAGACTCCACATTATGGTGCATTTAGCTCACGTTCCGCATGACGATCGCTGGAACTGCCCGTCGCCTCGCCAAGAGTATAAAGCTGCGTTCGTACTTTTAAATGACAAAGGTAGTAAACACCTTAAAAGGTTACTTGGCAACAAGAGGCGGGACTGTTGGTCAAACTAACTAACGACTGCAGGAGTCAGAATTTAAGAAAGACGTCCTGAGCAGTCAGAGTCCTCTGTGCTCTCCCGGCTCTGCTCGGTGATAAATGATCAATGAAAATCTGCTGCGCTTCAAAAGGGGCGGGACTTATGACACAATCCGTGTTTACCTGGACGCATGGACTCAAAGCCTGACTGGAATAAAAATGCTTTGTGTAAACGTGCCAAGAATCTGTTCCTCCAATCAGGAGTTAGATCATCAGTTTGACAGGTGTGCGTTATGTCAGCCTCACGGGGACGCGTGGCGATCTAGTCTGAAGACGTGAACATGGCTGCTGAAGGGTTTCCCTGATCCAGCTTTAAATGTGTGGAGGCGAGCCCGCCTACGCGTGGCGTGGTGCCCGCCGGGCTCTGTTGGTTTATTCTGGGCGAGGCTTGAATTGCGCTTTTCTTCGACCCTGTCAGAGGCCGCGTCGTGAGCAGAGCAGGACTTTCTGGATCCTGTTCAGTCTGGAACCTGAAGCCTGCTCCTGTTCTCGGTTTATCTTTACCTGATCTCTGTCTGGTGTCTCTGGCGGACATGTTTTTGTTTTCTCTCTCACTTCCTGGATAAGTGATGGGGTCAGACGTGCAGAAGTGATGGTTTTTGTAACCTAGCAACAAGCACTTGTGACACTGCGATGAGGATGCGGTGGGCGCGTCCAGCGACTCTCATCAATATGCGTAACTTTTTCCACATTCGGAGCGTCTGCTGTCTTTGCAAACGTCACACCGACAGTTTCCACGAAACAGTAAATGAGTCGAACAGCTGCTCGACATCTAAAAACGGCTGTAAGATGTGAACGTTCTGCACATTTTCACTCCCGTGTTGTGAAAGATGAGGACACATCACCATCAGAAAAGGAACAGCAGCGGAAAAATGAAGTTACGAATCCGACCGCCGTCTCCCATCTGATTTTAAACAAACTTCAGTCAGGTTTCTGACGCTGAAACAAATAAACGCTCCGTAACGAGGGCGTGCTCGTACCCTCAGACCACCCTCGCTCACTTCTGTTGCTGACCCGTTATGTAAACCGGTCTTGTTGGTGGGGTTGCTGCTGTCAGGGGTAAAGAGTTAAGTGCTTCTTAGGAAACAGCTCAGAGACCGTTTAGCCTCCCTGAGTCATGCTCCAAGTGCGTGTGTCGTGGTGTTGATCTGGTTGCTAGGCAGCAGCATGCTGTAGAGCTGGAATGGACCTCGATAATGGAGGAGGAGGAGGAAGATGGGGGTTGTTTTGGTTTCAGTGAAGCTTGAGTTTAAAATGGAGATGATGAGCGTCATTTTTCAGCTTCACAGCTTCAGCAGATTGGTCTTATTGTCCTCGTGTAGATCACAGCTGCGTTTATAGAAATCAGGACTTGATCTTTTTGGATGAATTTGGAGATTACATCAGTCCAACATACTGTCATGGATACAGGAAGGAAACCAGTCATTGAACTTTCCTCCTCACTCTGACTTTACTCTGACGGCGCTTCTTCCTGCAGTCGTCTTCGTCTGTGTGTGTGTTTAATTTGAAATGGAAACATGTGTTTTGCCTCTGAGGCAGCAGCACACGCTGCAGCGGCTGCTGCTGCCGGCTTGTTGTTATCAGGCCCTCACAGAGATTTCCTCTGACTGGGGGAACATGTCGCTTCAGATCGGTTGCAGATGTGTGGACTTGTTTCTCAGACCGATGGTGGAGTGTACACCAGAAGGTGATGGGCTGAATGAAGATGCGTTCAACTTTTCTCTGTTTTTGATGGTTCAGTTTCTCTGAGGAGCCTCATTTGAGCCTCATATCTACAGTCTGTGTTTTACCTGCAACAGGTGGGGGTAAGTCACGCCCCCTAAGTAGACTACTGTGGATTTTACACCCCTGAAAGAATTAGTTAGAGTATAAGTGGATGCTGTGTTGAGAACTTTCAGTGCTTCACCTGCAGTCAGACAGGAAGTGAAGCCATTACTTTACTTGTTGCTCTTCCACCCTGATTTGTGCAGCTGTGTGAGTTTGGTGTTTCAGTGTGGATGCATACAAACAGCTTTCATGTGGATGACTACATGTGCCGTGTTCTGCGTTGCAGCTTACTGGAGGTGTAATCCTGGGAGTGGCCCTGTGGTTGAGACACGACCCCAAGATCTCCACCCTGCTGGGTCTCGAATATGATGGAAACCACGCCCCCAGCACCTTCTACATCAGTACGTACTCATCTGTGTCTGCTTCATGTCACGTGTGTGCTCACCACGTTATGCTCCTGTCTGTTTATGAATCTTTTATTTGTCCAGGTAAAATCTCACTGCCCTGGTTCATGGCAGCAAAGGTCAAAACAGTTAAAAACAAATCAGCGGACTTTCCTGCCGTCGTTCATTGTTAGATATTCTCAGCCCGCAGCTATGAAAGCAGAAGGATTCATTTAGTGCTACAATCATAGGATGTATGTGAAACATTAGCTCGGTGCAGGTGTGATTCGCACCGATCTGAACCAGGATGCACCTGGTTGTGTAGCATGCAGCTAGACATTGGAGCTGAAAAACATCCCGTGTGAACTACAGATGCTAGCTAGCAACGAGCCTTGAGATGAAGGATAATTCTCCGTATTCTTCCTCCTGTATTTACTTTTGCTGCTCCCACCCCAGACACATGGTAACTGGACTGATTCTTATAAAGCGCTTTTCTACTCTCAAAGTGCTCTATACAACACCCAGTCACACCAGCACTGACTCTAAACTGAGTGCTGTCTAACCACATTCACACTCCGCTGGACGCATCAGAGAGCAACTTGGGGTCGATACTTGGCATGCAGACTGGAAGAGCCAGGGATCGAACCCCCGATCAGTAGGTGACCAGCTACCTCCTGAGCTACATCCACCTCCTCCACACATCTGGCCGGTGAGCAGACTGAACATGGTCACATGGTTTGTAGCGACGCATTTTTGGTTCGCTTGGAGTTCACGGGACTCGAGCCAGAGTGAACCAACTACAGGTGTGAAAATGTCCTCGGTGTTTAGCAGCTCAGTAACTTCCAGTCAAAATTGTCCTGTTCGTGCAGTGACCTCACAGCAGCCATATTATTGGTCACATGATGTCATTGAAAAGGCTCCAACAGCACAAACACGGTCCAGGTGAAGCTAGCAAACCGCTAGCAGCTTCAGCCACCTATCTGTCAAAGAGGCCACGCCCCTAATAATGCAAACTTTAATACAATTTAAACAGGTGAGTTATAGAAGTCATGAGGAAGGAAATGATCCACAGAGACCAAACAGTTTGTTTCAGGCTGTAAACATGTTTATGGGGACTGACTCGCTGCTGCCCCTGCTGGTTAGGACTGTCCTCTGTGAGCACCTGCTCACCTGGTCAGTTTTGTGCCAGTTTTATTGAGCTCATGATTAAATATATTAGTGAGTGAAGCCTTCATGTCCCTAACACTTAGTTTATACCTATTTATTAGGCACTATCAAAGTTTAACGTTGTTATTTTAACATTAATAATGAATCAATCGTGCATCTGCCTCACAGACTGAAGTAGTTCCACTTATCAGGGCATAAATAGTTTATGTGGATCTATCAGAGAAACACATCAGCTCGCTGCGATGAAGGCTCACCGTTGTCCTCCTCGCTCTTATTAAAGCTGAGATGAAATCGAATGGGTTTAAAACTTTGGACCAAAGCCGTGCAACAGATGTTCTGAAGAACGTCCAGATGTTCTGAAGAACGTCCAGATGAGGTTGTAGCGTGGTAGGAGGGGCCTGGGTTTTGAACGCCGGTGGGGTCCCGCTGTGTGGAGTTCTCCATGTGCTTCCAAAGATTCCTGGATCAACTCCTGTGGTTCTTTCTTGGACCAAGAACCAACAAAGGAACCTGACCAGAACTTTAAATCCTCCCGACACACGACTAAAACATCCTCGTCCTCCAAATGTTCGGCTTCTTTAATTGCAGTCGTGGATTTTTGCAGCTCAGTTTTCTCTGACTGAAATCATGAATCTGGACCGCATGGCTTCCAAGCCTTCTCACATGTTTCTGAGGCTGCTGCTGTGAGTTTAAGTCACCGGAAATAAAAACACTGAGCTCTGAACTCTGAGTGGCCACCACGCCTTGTAGATGAGAGAGAGGCTGCTGCAGAGCAGCAATGGCAAAGGCTCGACGCGCTGCAGCGCGGCGATGACGGTATCGTGTCGAGCGTCAGCTGGGAACGGGCTCAGGAAACGCTGGACAGTTGGAGGATGGAAAAAGTTGATATGATGAATGTTATTTCCTGCTGAGTCGCACAGATTCAGGGTTTGACGTGCCTGATCTGTGAAGCCAGAGCATGTCGATCCCGCCTGCAGCTGCTGCAGTAATGGAGGGGGGAGGGGTTCTTGGCCCACTGCAGGCCTCTTTGTACCAATCAATCATGGTTTGAATACCACAGGGAGAGGCAGAGTGTTGCTGCTCACCATGATGTGCATCACTTTATGGACACGGCTTTCCGTTCTCTAATGGCTGCAGGAAAATGCTCACGCAGCGAAAGCCAGACTGGTTTTTGAACATCCCAGTGAGTCCAGTGCAGAGAGGCGGGCCCATTCGTGCTGTGCAGTTCTGTCACAAACACACAGTATGGAAGCTACTCCTGTTGGTGGAGCATTCAGAGCCCACTTTTTAAGCTGCTTCAGCTTCCCTGCAGTTGCTGCTGTTTCCTCTGCAAGCTGCTTTGCAACCCAACAGCTCCTCCTTTTCATTGTAACTTAGTCAGTGTGGTCATCCAGAGGAGGAGGCCAGGTGTGTGCTGGCGCAGGTATCATGGCAGGTCCTGGGGCCGTGCTGCCGTCTGACAGAACCATCAGAGGACGACACGAATAGGTTTTGTAACGGCGCCATGTTGCAACTCGGGTGGAACGTGGGATTCGTAGCATGAATGCGGTTGTCATGTGACACAGTCAGGTGGAAGTGAAGCTGAACGCTCTCAACTTCTCGTGGTATTCATGACTTGTAGGTCAGAGGCTGTTTTGAGAGCTCAGCCCGCCGCGCCCAAACCAACAGCTACTTGTGATCAGCGCTGATGGAGCGCACACAGGCCGTCACGTGATCCCGTTTAAAAACGGCTGTGACGAGATCCGAGTCGTTCCCCCGTCTGTGAGTCATCTGCAGGGAGTAGAGAGATGAAAGCTGGCATTACAGGAAAAGCAGAACTGGTGTGATTTAGCAAAGTAAAAGTGAGGAAGCGTCTCGCAGGGAAAATAAAGGCGTGGCTGTTTGGACGGCGCCGTCGGGCTGCGGTTGTTAAAGGGGAAAAGCTTCGCTCATTAGAGAGGATCCACTCAGGGACTTTCTCTGCAGCGGCCTCGATGATTGCACCCTCGCATTACATAAAGCCTCCCTCTCATTCCCGAGGAGGGGAGGAAAAAACACTGTCGGGATAGGAAAAAATTCCTCACTCGCTCCTGCTCCTCCTCCTCAGTGACCCCACCCCTCCTCCCCCGTCCTCTGCGAGAGTTTCTTCTCCTTTGCTTGCTCCTGCTTTCCGTCCCCATCTGGTTGTGTTTAGCGTTCAACTCAACTTATTTTTCCGCGGCTCGATCGCCATCTTTCCCCTACATCTGTTTCTCTCCTTTCTCCCGGCGCTCACAGACACGGTGACCCTCCTCTCGCCTTTCTACACGATTAAACACATGCACACACTTTAAACTGTGTTCTGAAGCAGCGGCAGACGCCTGAATAGTCGCCTTGAAATCTGCTCATGATTCTAAAAATGAGTTTCTCTTGAATTCTGGAGAAACGAATGTTGCTCAAACCCGATTTCTCACTTCCTCCACTGCTGTACTGCAGATTTCTCAGTGATGAGTCGTCAGGGGTTTGGTTTCCTGCAGGTTTGGTAATCTTTTGTTGCACAGTTAGTAAGAATTTTATCTGACCGTACAAATGCCTTTTTTAAAAATCAGGCTTACTGGAAAGAATAAAGAAGTGTAACCTGATGAGTCAGACGTAGATTCATTTTGTAAACCTTGCACTGGATCGTCCCCAACAGCTCTTCTGTCTTTGTCACGAAGTGGAACGTTGAGAATTTTATTTTGAAATGACTTCCTGTCATGTACTTCCTGTTCCAGTGGTAGATGTTCCAATTAGACATAAAGTTTCTGATAGTGTTTTTTCTACTCTTGGATCTGAATGATGTCACAGAAACGGGATAGAAGCCACACCCTTTTTTCTTTGTGAGTTGTAGCCAATTAAAAGAAAGTTGTCTCAAAGAGGGAGGAGCTAAAATGGCGTGTTGTGGAGGATGAGCTGAGGCCCAGTGTCAGAGGATTATTTTGAATATTTCAAACTGTTAATCATGCAAAGCTGCTCTGTAAGAGTCCAAGAGTAAGAGCGTGGATCAGAATAATTCCTCTTTGCATAAGTCGTCTTTGAGAGCTCAGCTGCTGCTGATGGAAAGTTAGCATGGCGCTCGCTCGGAGCTCTGGAGCGAGGCGTTAATGGCGCTGTGACGCACATGTAGAAGAACGGTATGAATATGCTTCAGTTCAAGAGTAAGCTACTTACCTACTCTTAGTTCATCTGCGAGGCCCGTGTATGATGTAATAATCATTATAATGACAGTGTGAGTGAATGCTGTTAGCGGCAGAGGCTCGTGGCGAACGTTCGGTCAGGGACGGCTGAAGTTTTGGTCTGAACTTCTCTCTCACGGACTCCATCGTGAGCTTTGAAGCTCTCGCAGATCTTCACACCTTGATTGTCATTCAGCACAAACGTCCTCGGTCTCTGCGACTCTTACAAGACACTGATGTGGAAGATGAAAGCCCTCTGTGAGTACTGCAGTCTCACAGAAACCAGGCGTGTACGCGATAAAAGACCTGTCGACAGGTGACTCTGACGTACTCTGATTACATCCTGTGGAAACAGATGCCTGATGACAGTCGCGCAGATAGATCGTTTGTTTATATCGAAAGTTTTAAATTATGACTCGGAACCAAATATTCTCCTTTATCTTAAACATAACATTTCATATTTGCAATAAACTTTATGAATTTAAAAATGCTGAATGTGTAGGGCGGGGCCTAGTTGAGCTGTACCCAGGTAAATGTGGAGAGCATTTCCTGAAATGCACCTTTTTCACAGTAAAAGCCTCCAAACCCTCTTTTTTTTAAATCTCCAGTAAATGTCTGAGGACACTGGGGCTTCAGGAAGTTCTCGTGCTCTCAGATCACTTGACTCCACTCAGTTTCCTGTTCAGCAGCAAGTCACTCACACAGCGACCCCTCCAGCACCCAGAGGAGTAAACTGAGCCCCCTGGTTTCACGTTGACTCCCACAAGAGTTGAAATGACACCGACGTGTCAGGAAGTCCCAAAGAGTCCCGGCCCTTGGCTACATTCACGGGAGGGACCAAAATGGAGCAGTGGTAAATATTCCACTACGTGGGGAATTCGTTTACTGAAAACCTCCCCTGACAACAGCCTGCGTCACATCCACTAACTTTGCTCTGTAGTTTTATTTTTAGTGCCTTTCTGGGTTCGTGCTCAAAGGTACAAAAATGGTGCATCATGAACTGGGAATAAAGAAATGAAACCACCACCGGGCTAGTCATGTGACTGCGTCACTGTGGCTAGTTCTTATTAGAGAGCATCCAACCTTTGCAGGTGGATCTGCAGGAGACTCGTCGCTCTGATGGAGAAACCTCCAGATTAAACGTTCCCGGGAACGCACATCCAAAGACGTGCAGATTTATTTATGGAAACTCGCTGATGCCCACGCATCACGTCATCGCTGTTTAAAAAGGATTTTAAAAACGTTTGTCATTTCTGTTCTTGGGAATACAGAAGTTTTCTTAAATGACACGAAATCAAATATGTTTGTTCTACTTCCTTTTCCAACCAAAGAAACCACATCTGCTTATCGCAGCTGTTTGTGTAATTTTGGTTTCACTGAGTGAGTGAAGGCGCTGCCTGCAGCTGGTTAATGCAGTCACAGATTTTAAAATGCCGTCGACTGTCATAGACTCTTGAAGACTGGCTTCAGTAACCCTTGACGCTCTCCTGAGGCTGCTTATAGACCAGAACGACTGGCTGTGCTTCAGAAGTGAGCGAGGGTGCTCTCTGCAGATACCCCGAGAAAAACGCACAAATTGCTCTAATGGTCGCCAAAGCACGACTTTATTGATGCATGCTGAGGATTCACAATTTGTCATTGAGGTCGTCTTTATGGGGGAAAGGGTTCAGGCAGGAAGTGTGGGCACCGCCATGTCTGCGTTTCTAGCATCAACCTTGAAGTTCCACCTTAAAGGTCTTTATCGCTTGTTCCATTGTGGATTCAGGGTTTCCTCCCGAGGCTGGACCACTGTATTAACAATAGCTGTAATAAAAGAAAAAAGTAACAGGAAGCAGCAGAAGGGAAGGTTTCCACCGTACGATGAACAATCCCCAGATGACTTCACACATGGGTAAAATATTTGGAGGTTGGGTTATAAAGGCTTGATCGTCAGAGGGAAATTCCGAGGTTATTTTCAGCAGCGAGCAGAGAAACAAACGGACGACGGCGGAAGCAGCGACTCTGTGCTCATCAGAAAAGACAAATGATAATAAATCTAAGGCTAACCCACAGAGAGCCGGGTGGAGGCAGATCTCCACCCACCACCACCAAGTCCTGCTCACAGGGGAGAAGCCGGTCGTGCCGCTGTAATCAGACTGAGGCAGAGGCAAAGAGCAGAGCTTACAGGCTCTACTGACAGACAGTGACTGTAAGGGTGACGTCTGTGGACTCACAAAGGTACCGTCTGTTTTCTGGACGGTTGAATCAAAGTTGTTGGAGCAGACGAAGTAAAGGTTTCCAGGAGAAGTCTGTGGGGGGACTTCAGACTAGGAGAGGAACCCATCAGTCTGAAAGTGGAACCACGGTTACATTTTTAACTGGATGAAGGAACGAAACAAATGTAAAGGAACCAAAGTCCTGAAGCTCCAAAAGGCCAACACCCTGAGACAGCGTCCACAGGCTGTTCTGGTTCTGGACCAGGGCTGCCACAGCTGTGTGAAAACCACCCGGGGGATTAATAAAGTTTTATTTAATCTAATAACTTTAATCTCAGCCAAACCGATTTACTCACGAACAAATAAAACCCTAAAAAAAGCCCAACAATAACATTTTTAGGTTGTCTAAGTGACTTATATATCACGTTTAACCTGAGTAGCGAAAGACGGCGGTGATCTGAAAACGATTTGTTGGGAGTTTGCGGTTCTCGGGCACCTTCAGTGACCCTCGAGCTCCCGGTCAGCTGTCGAGCTGGTGGGTAGCAGACGTCTCCGAAAACGTCGAAGCACTTTTGCAAATATGCGGTGTCTTGATAAACCGAGCAGATATTTGATGTTTACACAGCTACTTTCTCGCCTGAAAATATGTCAAAAGCTTATTTTGTGACCCAGAAAGATTAATAAGAGTAATTTTAAAACTAACTAGCTGCTGCCATTGTTGGAAACGGGAATTGGCTGGGCCGCGCTATGAATCCTGGGATATGGAAAGGGTCACGAAGGTTTTACACCAGACCCATCCTTCAAATCTGGGGGAAAGGATTGGGAGGAGTCTTTGAATTTGGACAGTCTTCGTCGTGTCGCTGTGACGTAATCAGCCTACAAATGTGGCCTCCGAAGGATGCGGCTCCTGAATTTGGACACAGCTACGATGCCGGAGGTTGCTTCTTCTTCTTCTTCGGGGTTTAACGGCAGCTGGCATCCTCGTAGATGCAGTGCTGCCATCTTCTGTTTCAGTCCTTTATTACACTCTTACAACCTACTTATTCCTGCGTCTTTCAGGATCTTACAAAGCTTCAAGTGACGCGTCGAGTATTAAATTAGGCGTCGACGATTTTGATAGTCGACGTAACCGTGGCAGCCCTATACTGGACGTGGTTTGGTTATGAAACACGGACCAGAAAACTGATACCATGCAAATTATGCAGGAAACCGGCCCCCACCACAGACTCAAACACTGCAAACCTCTTCAACCACCTGCGCAAGAATCACATGACAGAGTATACAGAGAGTTTATGGATGAGAAGCAAAAAGAGCCGTCGGGTGCTAAAAAATAAACCTCAGACTGCAGCACGCCGTGTAATAAACACTCACTAAGAGAACGGCGGCCGTTTGCATCGGTCAAAACACTCGACTCCAGCTACACGACGCGCAGCTGGAAACACTTCACGCCAGTCGAGCTGCCCGAGATTCACAGAATTTACAGAAAATGCATTATTGTGGGATTTATATCATTATCGGGATGAGAAATGTCTGTCGGGATATGAGCGTTTGGTCATATCGCACAGCCCTAGTGTCGGGTTTGGCTTTCACACTCTGACCAGCCGTGAGTCATTCCTGTGGGATTAGAGACAGCGGTCCCTCTTTGGCGGGCTCCACGTCCTTCCGTTGGTCCAGGTTCTGGTTCTGCTCGGCATAGTGGCTCAACAACCACCTCTCCACCTGCTGCAGCTCGCAGAGGTGGTGGAGTCTGTCCAAGATGGCCGAATGACGCCGAGGATAGCGGCGATCTCATTGGCAAGGAAGGAGTGGAGCTGGGAGCGAGGGGCCTGTACAGATGCAGTTTTATGTTTTCTTCAGACAAATAAAAACGAGAAACCACGGATTCTTCCTGCGGACGTTTGTCTGTAACATCTGAGAAGATCTCGGCACAAAGCCGAGGATCTCACATTCCATCAGCTCCTCTTCCTACGGAGCAGCTGAAGGATGGAGCAGAGAGGCTGTAATGGAAGCAAAGCCATAAGAGGATTAAATAAGGAGAGACAGGAAGAGACATTTAAGTAAATGCATGGTTGAGAGCATAATTCTGAATGAGAGAAAGCATTACGCAGAGAGGACGGACTGATGGCCGAGCGCCAGGAGAGCGAGGGATGAAGAGCGGCAAACCGCCAGGAGTTTGACACCGGAGAGCCGTAATGGAAGAGATGGAGGGAGCACTTGGCAAGATATCGATTTATAAATTACCCGCAGTTTTGTGGCTCCGAGCTTAAAAAAAAGAAAGAGGGGGGGGTAGAGCAGCAGTTAGTGGTCCAATAATTCAATAATGTGTGAGCTGACAAGCAGGAAGGAGGCGGGGTGAACCTCCCAAATAAAAGCATCCGAGTTGAGCGTGCGTGTTATTTTAATAAAGAAGGAGACGACTGAAACTAAACTCAAAGGAAATTTTTGAAGCTCAGATAATTATTCAGAAATTTTCTCTTTTTTTACATTTTAGTTCAGAGTTTTGTTTTTTATTATTTATCTTTGATGCCATTAACTGTAAGGTGGGTCTAAATGTGGCGCTCCATCATCTACGTACAGTCTGTGGGTTCCACAGCTGTTGAGAATAAACATTAATGTAGTTCTTTAGGCTTTTATTGTGAAAAGCAGCGTTGTGCGTGTTTATAAAGGCAAGCTGTTGCCGCGGCCGTCATCTTGAACTTTGCTGTCACTGATTTATCGGCCTTTCTTTCTTGCTGTCGCCCGTGATGGCGACACCGCCGTCCCCGCTGCGGCGGTCTCGCTCAGTGTTTGATTACATTTGCCGGGACGACAATTTGGAATCTGTTTGGGTTCGACTTCCTGTTTGTGTCCGAAGCTGCTCCGAGGGTCTGTCGTCTCTTCTTCTTCTTTGTGTTTATTCTGAGCTGAATGGTGTCAAATGTATTTGTTGGCCTTGAAGCATGAAAGTGAGAATCTGCAGGAAATAAGAAGATTTGTGCGTCTCCAGATTTTTCCAGTGAAATTGCTCCTGTGAACTGGGATCATGCTGTTCTTTAGTACGAGCTTTAACATGTTGATTCTAACATGCAGACTTTCTCTGATGCTGTAAAAACTTCACTGATAACAGACACGCTCACAGACTGGAGCTCGTTCACGCTTTTGTTCCCATCGTCCGTCTTTACCAGGAATTCTGTGGAAGCTTTAGGAAAAGTCTGTTTGGTGCCCCGATGATGGATCCGTGTGACATTACAGAGCTGCAGCTTTGTGTTAGAAACCGAGAAAAGTGTGAACATAACAGGAACATGACTCACCACCCTGGCATGAAAACAAAAGTGCGCCATCTGCTGTCCGCCACGCGTCACTACACGTGTTATAAAATGAGATGTTGTGAGTCTGTGGTCCAGGATGACTTCCACCCCTCTCGTAACGACCATCCGTCTGTGCTTCTGTCTAGGTGTCCACATTCTGATCGCGGTCGGCGCGGTGATGATGGTGGTCGGCTTCCTCGGCTGTTACGGCGCCATCCAGGAGTCGCAGTGCCTGCTGGGAACTGTGAGTCACGCTGAAGCTTCCCTGTGGACTTTCACACCTGCTAATAGTTTTAATGTTTCTTTGTGTGAGACGGTGCACAAATAACGATGTGAAAAGATGCCTCGCACCAGGTTTAGCTCCTGACTCATTTCCATCTGCAGGCCCACACAGCACGAAATAAACTGTAAGATATCAGGACACATGCTCAAGCATCCAGGCAAGGAAATCCCAAAAAGTTGAATCTGGACATTTTCAGAGAAAAAATGCTACGTCCTGATGAAGGTATCAAGCATTTAGGAATTCAAATCCCTTCCTTATTCTCAGACTTGTTTAAAGTAATAAAAACAGATTTAGAGCGATGCACAGTCCTGCCTCCGTCTCTCCTGCGTCGCATCGAGAGTATAGAACGAATGTGTTACCGAGACTTTTATACCTTTTTCAGATGCTGCCTGTAAACATTCCCAACTGTACATTTGATAATTTAGATAAACTTTTTTCCAAATTGATACGGCGAGGCAAACGTCCAAGGATCAAGTTTCAAACATTAAAACTGTCAAACTGCAGGGGGGGGGGGGGGTCGGCTGTTCTACGAGACTCCTGACTGTACGGGATCGGTCTGAAACTCGGTGGCTAAACACTGAGAAGACAATATGTGAAAGATCACTGGACTCCCTGCTTTTTTTCTAACTTGTGCGTACGGGGAACGGACGAGGCTCACACTAAAGATTTGGCGCAGAATCAAACAAACGTTTGGTCTTCCAAAAGAAATTTCAATGTTATCAAGCCTCTCCTCCCTGCAGGGTTTTTCTCCTACTGTGGAAGACTTCAGAGCAGGTCAAATAACAGGCGTCATAAACTTCGTCATGTTGTGAGGACCTGAGCTCATTTGAACAGCTGAGACGTCGGCTTCAGCTTCCTTCTTCGGACTGTTTTAGATTTTTTGACAAAACATAAAGACTGGAGGCAAGTTTGGAGCCCTCAGCCGTCGAGGAAATATCTCTAAAATATTTCAAAGTAATTCCTCCCCAAAGCTGATCAGTCACTTCTATAACTCATTTATGAGTTTCAATACAAGTGCAACTTTGGATATTAAGGCAAGGTGGGAAGCGGAGACTGGCACTCAAGTCTCAGAGCACACCTGGGAAGAGGTGTTCAGTGAGGCCCAAGTCTCCTCTGAGACTCGGGCCTCACTGAACACCTCTTCCCATCTGGTGACTAATTCTGGGCTGTGGAGAGAATTTAAATGGAAGGTGGTCATGAGATATTTTAGACCCCCAGACATCGTTGCTAAAATGAACCAACTCCCGACACTTGTTGGTGAAATTGTGGTACTCACTTAGCAACCCACTCACACATATCCTGGCCGTGTCCAAACATTAGCTCAGTTTGGAATAAAGCTCACTACAGTTTCCCAACAACCATTAACAAAGGACCAACAGTTAGTGAGTCTTACCAACAGCAAAACAAAGTCTCTCGTAAGAATCTTGCTCACAGCAGCACTAAAGTGTATCACCATTAAATCATGACCGGCCTTCATGTAATATGTGGATTGATAAAGTAAGATTGATCAGATGGAGGGAATAACATCTGCTCTGTGGATGCAGAGAGGCTTGTTCAGTGAGCGATGGCCCATACATGCTTATTGTTTCAATAATCCAGCAGAGGTTCACTTTTTACTGCTGCTAAGATCGTCTTATTTAATATTATCTGAAGTTTGTGCTTCTACGTTGCCTGCGTCTGTTCAACTTGTGAACATTGACAAGTGTAAGTTGCAAGGTTGTAAATTATAATAAAAAAGTTATAATAAACGCAGCAGCTGCACGGTTACCTGCACGTGTTCTCTGAGTCGGAGCTCAGGTAGAAGGACGCTCGCGCTCACCTGCTGTGTTTCTGGCCCGTCCTGCAGTTCTTCGCCTGCCTCGTCATCCTGTTCGCCTGTGAGGTTGCAGCTGGCATCTGGGGCTACATGAACAGGGACACGGTGAGTGTGCACGCTGACACTGCAGGTTAAATCGGGCATGCCGCTCTCTGATCGGGAAGCGTTTGGTCCTGGTTGACACCTGGGATTAAACATGCTTCATATAATCAGCAACCACAGACTGTACTGAGGATATGACCCAAAATTCATATCTCGATATTCTTTACCTTGTGTGAGTTATTAGTCATTAGTGTGCTTCTGTCACCAGGCAACAACTAATAACTTTATTTAAACTTTTGCAGGTTACAAAGGAGATGAAAATCTTCTACGACAACGCCTACGACAGCGCAATTAACAGCAATATGCAGGAAAAGAACAATGCCGCCGCCGTTGTCCTGAAGGCCTTCCATGAGACGGTACAACGCAGATATATAACAAAATGATCATGTGAATATTTTCTTATAAAGTAAAGGTTTTTCTGAGGCGTCCTGAACCTCGTCACCTTAAAGTACAGCAAACACTGAGAACACGGTGCATGAAAAGCGGCAGAGCTGAGATAATCACACGCATGCTTTGAAGGTCACGTACAACTTGGACGTGTTGAATTTGGGAATAAAAGTTGGGAATACCAGGTGAGCTGACTTTGGAATTAGCAGAAACTAAACTCCAAATCAGAGAGATGCAGGTAGACGTCGGGTTGCACCACGCCCTCTGTTGGAGCGTCTCGTCTGTCACCGCGTTTTCACAAGAGGGTGGAGCCCTGAGTTATCGGCTAATGCTAGCTAACACGAGACCCTCACTAAGACGAACCTGCTAATCACAAACATTAAGTCCGAATCTTCAAACTTCACTCAGCAAACCGGAGCTCCGCCCTCTGTGACGGCCTGTTAGGACACTGACCTCACAGCAGTCGTGTTTTTGGTCACATGATGTCATTAAAAATGCTCCAACAGCACAAACACGGTGCAGTTAGCTGAGGTGCAGCTACACCTAGCGGCTACATCCACCTGTCTGTCAAAGAGGCCACGCCCCTAATAATGCAAACTTTAAACCTTAATAGGATTTAAACAGGTGAGTTATAGAAACATCCTCCCCTGTACAGGAAACGATCCACAGAGACCAAACGGTTTGTGTAACAGGTTGTAAACATGTTTGTTTCTGCTGTAAAGTTGTAACACGGGAGTCTGCGGCCCCTTTTCCTAGAGTACCTACTCGGACTGACTGGGCACAGTTTGCCACGTTTTCCAGGGTTTTCCGTTAAAAACCAGGTAGTCTTTTAGTACCTGCTGGGGTTCTAAGTGATCCAGACAGGTACTAAAATGTGATGTCGTCAGACCGCACGCAACCGATTGGCTGGTCAGTAGCGTCACTCAACGAGTCACGAGAGCGTCTCGTTCACAAAAATCAAAACTGCCATTTTTGAAACTCGGCTGCAAAACAACGCCGTGATCCCCCGAGTGTGACGAACACCTACAGACCGAGCAGCAGGTAAATATTAGCTTCGATGTCCACCTTTGTTGGAACGTTCAGATGCGCCGACGCTTTGCTATGACGAAAGGCGTGCAAACAAGGTACTACTGGGTTATAATGGAAAACCAGTCGACCCGAGTAGGTCAAATGGAAAAGGGGCTTATGGGGACGGACTCATTGCTGCCTCTGCTGGACATTAGAGGAACTGCAGTTGTGGTGCTTGTTTGTCGGAGGTTTCCAGGTCTTTACTGTGTTGTCTTTGTGTTTCAGCTGAGCTGCTGCGGTAAAGGCACAGGCACTAACCTCCTTACACAGCTCACAGACATAACTGGAATTACCAGTATTTGCCCCAGTAATACATTCACGGTAAGTACAATCATTTATTTCAGTGGTTTAATCTTTGCTCGCATGCTTCTGGCTCACGGGGAGAACAAGCAGGACCATCATTTAGCTCTCTGCAGAAATCATGAAGTTAGTCAAAAAAGCTCCATAAACTTTGCTGTGAAACATTTTCTCTCTGCTGTATACTTGCACCAGGCAAACGCAGGGGGCGGGGTCATTCATGTTTGTGTCCTGTCTCACCATCAGGAACACGAGCCTCTCGGCACGACTCGGTGCATTGATAGCGTTGGCGGGTTCTCCTGTGCTGCTGTAAAATAATCTGCTCTTGGTAACCTGACGCAGTCACGGGGGGCTGTTCCACTTCCTGTTAAACCGTGGTATCGAAAGTAGTTGCAGTTCACCCGAGAGCACAGCAGGGGGCGCTTTTAGTCCACTGAACAGAAGTGAATGGAGCTAGACTGAGATAAAAACGTATATTTAAGTTTCAGTTAAATGAATGGAAGTGGTTGAGGCTGTGCAGCTGCTCTCCACAAACCGAGAACATTTCACTTCAAAGTAAAAGTCACATCTTTTGAGACTTTTACTTTGAAGGTACATTGTCTCCATTTTCAGTTTGTGTCACATGTTTTTTTTTTACCACATAGCCAGCAGTGTAAGTAAAGACTTGCCAGACAAAAGATTTAGAGAACATCGAGACAGCAAAAGCCTCAGAGTCCAAAGATCTGCAGGAGGCTGTTCTGTATGCAGCCTGCAGCTTCACACGAGGCTTAACTCCACTTGTTGGCAGCGTTACTGAAGTGACCCGAGGTCGGTGCAGAGCTGCGCGGCTGCCAGAACACAGAAGTGTTTAAAAGAAGCACTTTTTACTTTGTCTGTTGCTGATTTCTGTGAGAGGAAACTCATCAGGAGGAGGTGGGGCCTAACGCGCTGAACACGTGGACACAGCAGGAAGCTAAAGTAGCGTTAGCATGAATAAATGAAAGCAGTGTTACAGAATAAATGAGCTGAAATATTAATGACTGATAAATAAATGAGTGTGTGTGAGCTGAGGTGGCTGTAAGAGAGAAGCTCACAGATGATGTGTGATCAGCTGTCTCTATGGCAACGTTCACTCTGCAGGCGAAAGCGCATCAAATCCGGCGTTTTTGACCCTCTGCGACCCACATGACAGCGTGAACGGCACAAATCCAATATTTTTAAATCCAATCTGGGTCACTTTCGTATGTGGTGCTGAATCCGATACATATCCGATGTTTCAGAAAGCGACTGCTGTTTGATTGTCATGTCGCATTAAATCCGCCTTTTACGTCACTGACACAAGACAGACTCCGATTATCAGCGCCGGAGAAGACATGGTGAACACTTCCTGTCCATCCAGTACAACTGTTGGGAACAACGTTGGAGAAACGTGAACATTTTATTTGTTCTGTATAATCTGCAGATTCTGACAGAAATCTGCAGCTTTCCTCTAAAACAGCAACAAGGATCATTATTAGGCCAAATGTAGAAAACACAATAACTTTATAACTTAACATAAAGTCCGAAGTCTTTACATTAAGGCCATCAGTCACACATACTGTTGCTCTGGGTGTAAACAGAGCGCGTTGTGTGTGACGTCTTCTTTTGCGCATGCGGCGCTTTGAGCGTTCACACTAGAGCGCGTTTGCTGTCGCATTTTGTTTGTAGTGTGAACGAGCAGACAAAAAAATCGGATTTGATCAAATAATTTGAATTGAGCATCAAGACCTGCAGAGTGAACGTAGCCTGAGACTGGTCCACAAACAGGAAGTGAAATTCCTAAACATTAAAACAATAAAGTTTTTCCTCCATCTATCCAAAACTTAAAATAAAAGATTCCTCAAATGAAATCGTGGTTTAAGAGAATAAAGAAATGCCGACACGTGGTGTTTGTAAAAATGTGAAGCAGCAGGAGAGCAGGATGCATTCTCTCTGATCTCCAGTAGGTGGCGTGTTTGAATGTTTTGTTTTTGCTTTGCAGAGCTGCCACGACAGAATCAACGAGCTGTTCCACGATAAGATTTACCTGATCGGCATCGCCGCGCTGGTGGTCGCCGTTATTATGGTGAGAACATGAACATCACACAGTGCTGCTGCTCGTAAATGTGCTGAAGGCTGAGGGGCAGCTTCGATTGTTTCTGTTTCATGCATACAGTGTGTGTACGAGTAACAGAGAGGATACGTCCTCATACAGTCATCCTCAGCCACGTAGAAGCCCCACCCACTTGCTCTTTAAACCTCCTGTGTGAGGGGCTGCCAATCAGAAGGTTGACTGAAAAAGGGAGGAGCTGAAAAAAGAAGCTTATTTTAGATGAACTGAGCTCAGTGTAAAGTAAAGATTATTACAAACTGTGAATCCACGGCTGCAAATATGAAGCTAGAAATGAGTGGGATAGACCCCCTTGAAGATGAAGGTGACCCCTGACCTTTCCTCAAGCACCATTGGCCCTTTTTAGCTCATGAGCATGAAAAATCGTATTTTATTGGGTAGTCTTTTGGTTTTTGTGGCTGTATGTAGGACAGCACTGAAGTCTGTGAAACGCAGAGAAAACAGAGTCTTTCCTGGTGCGTTAGTGAAGCTGATGCGCTGCTGCTCCCTCGGTCAAAGACGACCATCCCACCTTCTCGTGTCAAAAAGAGTCTCAGTGATAATCAGGAGGCGTTAAGGCGGCGCGAGCGCATGAATGCTGTCGCCGAGTGGAAATCGTAGATGCTGTAATGATGTAATGTTGTGACGCAGCCCTGACAGCTTCCTCTTCTTCCTCAGATCTTCGAGATGATCTTCAGCATGGTGTTGTGCTGCGGGATCCGCAACAGCCCCGTGTACTAAAGCGCCGGGGCTCCGGCCAATGAACGAGGAGAGGACGACCTCGCCCTCTCCTTCGTTTGTTTGTTTTTTTTATAACCAGGAAATGCCACATGTATTGCTTGCTGGATTTTAGTCAGCTGTTAAAGACAATATCCTGTTTTTCTTACACTGTCAAAGATCATTTTTTATTGTTATTTTGTTAGTCACAGATGCTGTTATGCATATTAGAGCAGTGTTTAATGTAGATATGCTGTCACACACGGTCCAGGTGCTGTAATCTGATTAGTTTACTGCTGTCCTGCCTACGTCCACGCTCTCATATCGGCCTTTTCTGGATGTTATCCCCACGTTTTCTGTATAAACTGTATATAAATATATGTGGACAGTGCTTCATGTCTGCCTGAGCATGGAGGTTGTTTATCATGAGCTTTGTTCACAAACACTCTGTGGATTGATCCAGACTGAAGGCATACATGACCGGCGCGCTCTCTCACACACAGACACACACACACACAGACACACACACACAGACACACACACACACACACACACACACACAGACACACACACAGACACACACACACACACACACACCCCTCTGGTCATACTGTGGGATGTTGTCAGGAAATGAAATGTTTAATCTGAAGCTGTAACCAAAGTCCGTGACCTCTGACCCCGTTTGCTTTCTTTCTGCGGTGGTAAACTATGATCGTCATGTCAGAATCAGAGCCTCAGAGTTTAATGTTCGGCTCACTCCTGCAGTCGTGTACTGGTCACGTGTGTTTCCCAGCAAACCGGTTGTCCTGGTAGGCAGCTGGTTGTGTTTGCTCACAAATAAAACTATGGGCTGCTAAAAAGGATTCAAAGCAGAAATTTAAAAGCCCACAAATAATAATTAATGTTGCATCTTAAATTCATGTCATATTTGGCACATTTGAGTCATTTTGTGCATTTTGCCCTTATTTTGAAATCCCCGTACTTACAGCCCGTCCGGTTGAGCCTCGTCAGTCTAATCTGACATGTTTATGTGGTCATCGTCCCTCCACCTTCGTTAGCCGCGCACTAGCAGTTCATCTGTTGTGTTGTCGTCATGGTAACGAGCGTGGCTCTATCGGCGCCGTCCGAGCTGACCCGTGCACGTGCAGAGCGCCTTCCGTCCCAACTGTTCCCGCCTCATCGGCCGACCGCTAGCTGCACAGCCCCGCGGGCCTCTAACCTCTCCTTTAAATCATAGCGTCTCGTGTAACCCTCCATATAATCGTAGCTTTTCTCAACCAATTAAAACTTTGCCTTGTTAACTAAGTGGCGCTGGACAGTGCGACGTACAGCTCTGATGTATCGTACTAATGAAAATAATGACGGCTGTAGAAACAGTGTATGCCTTTCTTCTCTTTGTATCGTAATATCTGTCTGGTACGTCATCACAGGAGGAAGGGGAAGGTTTTGTGACAGCGCCGATGAAGCGTTGATGCTGCCTTTTGAATAACCGCTGCATAAATCTCCTCTCTGCTCTGTAGACTTTGGTTTGCCCAAATATAAAGGGAATAAATGTATTTTACAAATAACCTTTCAGCTCTTCTTGTCTTTTATTTGAGGAAAGGTGACTGTTGGAAGAGGGGGTCGCTTCTACCTTCAGTCAGGGCTTGGTGGTTGTTAGCGAGTGCAGCAGTGTGAGCTCCTTAGTCGAGCTTTGGTCGGCATCAAGGATGCTGCACTTGTTGCTTTCATATATTTGAGAGCACAGGTGTCAAACTCGAGGGTGTCCTGATGAAATTAGCAGCTCAGCAAGACTTGACTCGATGCTGAGGAGGCGATTCAGCATTTGATTCATGTTACATCAGGAGTGAGTGAACGTGGTGCAGTAAAAGTACAGTTTTCTAAACACTTCTTTAAATGGGGGGGCGGGCACCTCAGCGTGCAGTCGGCTTTATTCAGGTGTGTTGCAGCAGCGACGCATAGAAGCGTTTCAGCAAAGCGGCCCTCGAGGACTGCAGTTGTACTTGTATAACCTTGTGGTGCAGCCTGCATTACCTGTGGCCTCCTGCGGGGTTTTTTGGTAGGTCCTGTTTGATTTTCTGTCACTTTTCCTCCCGCTAAGAGTTTCACGGCCACGCTGACACACGGATGGACCTGCTGATGATCCCTGGCAACCGTAGAAGACCAGCAGCTGCTTCAAACGTCTCAGCGATGTTAAAGATGTCGGATGGCACCAAATCTTCTTCATCTCAACGTCACAAAATCAAAAATCCTGTTTTTCAGAGAAACCGTTATCCTTGTCTAAAGATTGAAGGTTCTTTGTCTCACGCGTAGTCACACAGTGAGCTGCTGCTTTAGAAACAGGAAGTAAACGATTGCTGCGTGTTCTGTTTCAGCCTCGTGTTAAAGTCAAACTTGCACTTTTATACTTGGACATAAGTCACACATTTCATCTCACATCAGCTGTTTTTACAGCATTTTCTGCTCCACCATCTCTGATTAGCATCAACATGGTACAAAGTTTGAACAAGTCCAATTATTTCTGCAAGTTTTTGGCTTCAGATATCAAATATTTTTGAACATCAATAGTTTTGGAAAACTGTGTTTTGACCTTTCGGGACCTTTTTTACTCACTCACGCAATGTTTGAATATTAAAGTCTGAAAGTTTCACTGATCTTTACCATAAAAGTAGGTCAGGGTGTGTAAACTGGTGCAGTCAGTGTTAGTCAGCACTCGGCTAAACTCCCACATTTGAGGGGGCACTAAGGAAAAACTTCATATGGCAGGGCTGCAGACTAACGTTTGTCACGGCTGCACTGGTGTGCCGAATTTTTTTTCCCTTATGCGCACCCAAATTTTTCAGCCGCATCGCTTAACACGCAGTTTTACATGCGCACTTTTAAGGAGGTTTTTCAGCCCATGCAGACAATATTCATTTGTAAATGATGAACTAACAATCTTTTCAACACAAAGTCCTTTAGTTGAAGCACATTTCTACCAGAAAGTTGCTGAAAAACTGCTTGTGCTTAAAGTGCTTTGGCAATATTGTAGACAATGTTGAACTTAATCATCACATCGACCTCTGGCGACCTGTTTGCTGCCTGCCGCTGAAAGGCCGTGGGGAGAGGGGACACCTGGGCATTTATTGCAGCGTATAACGTGTTTCTGGATACACTGCTGCTTTTCAGCGCTCAGAGGTTGATGTCTCCATGTCAGAGCTGGCTGTGAATTTCAGACCTTAACAAAAATGTAGCAATAGTTCTTTTCATCTTTTCTCATTACCCACAGGCTGCTCACTAGAGCTGCGTCTCATCACTGATTTCACTCAAACCATCGCACTGGCGCGACATAGGATTTGTTTTTTGGTCGCACTCTAGAGTCAGGTCACTGTTTTTGACTGGTTTGTATGACTTGTGTGTGTGAAACACGTGGCTGCAGTATTTGATCAGCACAACATGAAAGCTAATCTAGAATAACGTGTTCTTTATTTAGCAACTAAAGGTTTCATGTTAAAAATCCTTCTGTGTTATATTTTGGCGTTACTGTGAAATTTAACGTTGTCCTGTTCAGAAATTGTCCCTCGATGTCTTTTGCAAAGTAAAGGTAATAAAGGCCCTGATGGGGGGGGGGGGCTGCTGGCTCTTCGTGGTGCAGCCTGCTTATTGTACACGTCCTGTGATGGATGCTGCAGATCAGCAGGGAGCGCTTCAGAGCGCTTCAGGACACCTACACCAGGAGATGCCGGACTAGAGCAGCGCAGACACTGAAGGACCCGTCCCATCCAGGCAACAAACTGTTCCAACTTCTGCAATCTGGTAGAAGGTTCAGCATCATCCGGGCAAGGACAGAGAGACTCAAGAGGAGCTTCTATCCCCAAGCCATCCGTGCCCTAAACACACACACCCGCCCTCTCACATCATCTATAATTGACTGAGTCAGGACTCTTCCAGACACTAAACCAAGGCACAATGTACATTTCAATTCCTTTAATTTTAAATATGTTTATATTGTCTATCCTGTAAAATAGTCAGATGTCTATTCATACTAATGTACAGAATTCACCTGCTTGCTGCTACTACTGCACATTCACCCAGTGTATATACTATATGTGTATATATATATATATAATGTTCTTCCTCTACACCACCCCCCAATTTTTGCTCATGTCGAGGAGCATGTCAGGCTACATTTCACTGTGTGTTATACTTGTATAACTATGCATGTGACAAATAAAGAACCTTGAACCTTGAAACGCTCGCCAAACACGCTTTATGGTGCGACCCGGGCCTGACGCCCTACAGGATGGCCCCCGTGCCCCCACCTCCTCCACCCTTTCTCCACCATTTATTCCTTTTTCATTTCAGTGTTTAAAGTTAAAAACCTATTTTAAAGTTCTGTAACTGTTTCAGTCGATGGACGATCGTGTTACAGAATCAGGATCGCGTCTGATTACGGCGGAGAGATTTCCCTGTTACGGGAGTCGAGGTCTTTGGGCAGCACTGACAAACAGCTTCTCTCCTGCACTCGCTTGGCTGGGAGGTTGATTTGTGGCGTCCTCCTCCCCCCCCACCATCCTTTTTGTTCTTTCCCCCCACACCACCTTCATTTGTTTCCACAGGATGTGTGAGGAGTTCCCACAAACGCCGTTTACTAATCACGAGGACTGTCAGACCATGAGCTGAGCCTGTCCTCGTATTCCTGCCGGTTTTCCAATTTCCTGTCCTGAGATGCTCTGTGATCCAGCCCTCGTCCAAAGAGGTCTTTTTAGGGAGGCGGTCTCGCTCTTTATTTGTTTTGTTTTTTAGTTGAGATTCATCACAAACAGTAAAAAAACAAACTGGAAAGAATCAAACGAGTGAAACTTCTTCTGGGCTGAAACCTCAGCTTGTCTGTAGCTTTGTTGCCTCTAAACAAAATCAGAGCAGCGTGTTCTCTGCTGCACACCGCAGGGCTTTCTGCACATATTTCTGGGTTTGTGAAAGTCACACAAAGAGGTCGTGACCTGTGTGTGTGCGCGTGTGTGTGCGTGTGTGTGTGTGTGTGTGTGTGTGTTGCTAAATGCAGTCCTGTGTGCATCCAAACCCAGATGGGGTGGTTTGTGTGAAAGTCCGTGGTTTCTGCAGCAGGATCCCTCCCTGCTCCCTCCTGACGTGTTGCTGCTCCTCACTCTCGCCTTCCCAGACCTCCCCCAACTATTTCCACATTCCTGGACCCTTAAACAATCACGATCTCTCGACTTATTTCACAATCCCGCTCGTACCCCTGTTCAAAAGTTGCTAAAGAAGCACAGAAGCCAGCTAACTTTCTGTCGGTACACATTAGAAACACACGTCTGAGTGTGAGTACGTTGTTTTTGTGAATCGACAGTCGAGTTTGGAGCTAAACGTCTGACCCCGGCTCGGCCCTTCTGTCGGCTCCTCTCATTTATCAGGATTGGGTAAGAAGGGTTATTTTCATCGGCTTGCATAACGTACAGATGTGTAACCCTGACATCATGCTTCACCAAAACTGATGACAGACACGTTTTCTAACTTCTACTCATGTTCACGGCACCAAAGTTCAAAGTGACCATTTTTCTTCATGAGTCATTTACAGCCGCTCTCGAAGGCGGTTAAACTCAAACCTACTCTTTGTTTCCACTCATGTATCTCCCGTTCCACTGGTGGATGTTCATATTAAACAACACTCAGTTTATCAGGTTGTTTCCACTCCTCGACCTGAGAGATGAAGCCAACTCTGAAACTCGAAGCCTGCAGTTCCTCTGGCGTCCAGCAGAGGCAGCAGTGAGTCAGTCCCCATAGACTCCAGTGTTAAAACAAACATGTTTACAGCCTGATACACAAAATGTTTGGTCTCTATAGGTAATTTAGTCCTTCATAACACCTGTTAGGGGGGGTTATGAGCTCAAGTGGTAGAGCAGGTCACCGACTAACTGGAAGGTTGGTGGTTCGATCCCAGTCTGCCTGCCAAGAGTCCTTGGGCAAGGTAAATGGCCTGTATTTATCTAGCGCTTTACTAGTCCCTAAGGACCCCAAAGCGCTTTACACATCCAGTCATTCACCCATTCACACACACATTCACACACTGGTGATGGCAGCTACATTGTAGCCACAGCCACAAGGTATCAACCCCAAGCTGCTGTCGGACGCGTCCATCGGAGCATGAATGTGTGTGAATGTTAGAAACAGCACAGACAAATGTACTTGTGTCAATGAAATGTCCAAGCTGTAAAAGCTTTGAGCCTCAGAGTAGGAAAGGGGCGTGGCCTCTTTGACTGGTAGGTGGATGGCTTCACCTGAGTTTGACGTGAAGCAGGTATGTGGTCTCTACACTGCTGAACACTAATCTGTTTTTATTTGGGTTCATGTTTATTAATATTTGCGGGAACGGAGAGGTCACGGGGGCTGCGGTGACGTAAGCGTGTGAGGTCAGACCTCCTGTGTACTGGTTGTCTTGACAGCAGGTGGATTTTAGACCCCCCGCCCCCCACTCTCGGGCCCCGCCCACAGACGCTGGGCTGACGGAGCGCCGTTTCTTTGCAGACACTCGGAGCTGCGCTGCGCACCGGACGGTCCGCTGTTCGCCGGA